TGATCTCCTAATTTATTCCACCTCTGGAAATCAAACCTAAGAGCCATATCCAAAATCCCCCTGCCCATACACACACACACATACACACACACGTACATATGCACAAAGACTTTCAATGGAATATTATTTATGACACTAAAAAATGGGAAACAAATTGGTGGCCAGCAATGGAGTAATGGTTAGGTAAACTTAATGACTGAGTATACAAGTGACAAAAAGTTTGCTGTCTTTAACAAATAATGTTTTTAAAGATTTTTTTTCTTAATTTGGAAACAGGCAAAATATTTTATTTTTTAGACATACACAGATGGCAAAGCTATCACAAACAGTCAAAACATTGATAACCTTGAAGGAATGACAGGGTATAGAAAGTTCTTTGTTTTAAATATTTGTCATTAAAACTTAATTTAATTGTAAAATTCACCATCTTAATGCCAGGACCCCTTTCATCTTGTAAAGCTAAAACTCCAGGCCCATTAAACAGCAGCTCCTATTCTCTCCAGCAACTACCATTCTATTTCGTGTCTCTAGAAATGTGACTACTTTAGGTACTTCTATAAGTGGAGCGAGACAGTATTTTCTTTTTGTGACTGGCTTATATCATTTAGCATAATGTTCTCAAAGCTGATCCATGTTGTAGCACATGTGAGACTACCCTTCCTGGCTGGAGATGTAGCTCAGTGAGGGAACACTTACCTAGCATGCACAATGTGACAGGGGAAAAGAATTTCCTTCCTTTTTACAGTCTGAATAATGTGTCATTACAAGTATATACCTTATTTTTCTTATTTACTCATTATTCATCAATGAACACTTGAGTAGTTTCTATGTTTCAACTACTGTGAATAACGCTGCTATGAGCATGGTTATACAAATATTCTTGAAGTCTCTGCTTTCATTTTTTGTCTTTTTGATGGGTATGTGCCCAGAAGTGGAATTGCAAGATTATATGGTAATTCTTTTCAATTTTTTTTTAGAAACTACCATACTATTTTCCATAGCACCTGTACCATGAAGTTTTTAATGACAGTAATTTTCTATGATTAGCACACCCTACACTGGCAATCAAGAAAAAAATGAAAAAGGTTTAGTAGGAAACATGTTTCTTTCTAGTCATCACATTATCTGTTGCAGTTTAGTCTGAATAGTACATTTAGTTCACTAAACTTACTAAAAGGAATGCACAATACACATGTACTCTTTTTTATTTTTTATAACTGAATGAAGACACTAGATAACCAAATTCATTTCTGAAAAACATTAAGCCCAAACATAATAATAATTCCAACTTTCAACCAAAGATTAACCAAACTAAGTTAATCTTTTTCTCTTGTTAGGCCTACTCAACAAGGCTTTTAAAAGCCATTCCTATTCAGGCAGGGCTTCTGATTGGTTTGGGTCAGCCGAGGTGGAATCGGCAAATGCCAAGGGCATAGACGGGGCTACTCTCAGGAACTTAGCTGGATCCTCTTTTCATGGTGCTTCCCGCCAGCCTTCATAGGTTAGTGGCTCACACCTATTCTCCTGTGATTCCTGGCCTGGGCCAGCTTAGTTTTCTTTTGGTAATTGATAAACTGCCATAGCATCATGACGAGAGTGACACTGAACTGAACTGAGGGAGGGAGGGATGAAGGAAAAAGGGGAAAGGAAGGAACTTGAAGGAGTAATGAGCTGATTTCCATAAAGGCTTTGACATCTTGGAATGAAAAGCAGCCTCTAAGATGAAGGCCAGTCCTTTACATGTTGCCAGCTGGCTATTCATCACCAAAAATTCCCCAACAAATCCATGGCTATTGCTCAACTACCTCATATAAATCCTTATTAATCTTGTAAAGATAAATCACAAATATATGACAAAAGTCTTTATGAGTCCCCAATTTCAGAGTCAAAATTTAAAAACTGAATTAGTTATCCTATGGCTCCAATGAATTTTTTAAAAAACCTTCTTTGGGAACCAAAAGACAAGTAAATGATACATCCACTAAAATTTTTGTCAACTTGGATGAACTAAAATTTTTTAGTCAACTGGATGAACTTAGCCTAATGAACAAATAAATTATAGAAGGAAAAAGGTGTTGGCGCTAAAATTTAAACCATTTTATTTTTGCTATAACATTAACTTTTCATAGTTTATTACCAGGGACATAAAGAAGTTTCTTCAGCAGTCAAATCCGGAATACTCTGCACTGTAACATCTTCACTGGAAAAGCGGAAGAGAAAGTGAAGACAGGTCTGTTTTGAGAGGGGACCACTAGTACCCTGAGTAGGTTCATCTGAGCATAGAGTTAATTGCTATACAAACACCTCCCAGAGCAAAAAACCCTCAGGGACAAGGCAGGCATGGGGCAGGCTGAGACTTCCTCATTTATACCCAGTTTTATAACTTCCTATTCAGGATCTTCAGGGTTATGCTGTCAATGATGTGGAGAATACAGAAAGAGTGATACAAAGCTTTGGAATGCACTGTGCTTTGGCAGCATGTTTTCCTTCCAAACTCTTCTAGACTCTGGACACATCCTGATTTAATACTTGCAAAAGTATTCTGGGGAGCAAGAGGAAGCCTGGTTTAGGAACCATCCACAGACCACCTACCAAGTGGAAAGTTCACATGTAGATAATAGAGAAATGACTGTACTAGAAACAGAAAAGTGGCTTTCAGGACTCAGGGCAAGGAAAAATAGAAACCCAGTGAATTATGCCTGTATTTTCTAGGGCTGGAAATCAGGGAGAAAAATCAGAGAAAGGGGCAGGGATGATGATGATGATGATGAAATGTCTGATTATAGAATAATAGGGAGCACAGGCCAGGAGGGCTTCTCCAGTTGAAGAGGAGGCTGAGGCAGCTTTGCCAGCCATCTTCAGGGACTATAAACAGGAAGAGCCATCAATGGTTGGTGTGTCATTCCATCTTCTCCATTCCACCCAATAAGAAGGACGCATAAAGCAGTTGGGTAATGACTTTCTACCAATCCGCAAAGGAGCAGCAAGCTTAGGGGCAGAAACTCCTTCCTTCAGCACTTTAAGAACTGGAGTTAGGATTCTTAGGAAGTCTTGTATGGAAGCAGATTTTCAAAGGATGATTTCTGGACAGCCCTGACATCCTGATGCCCAGAAATAGCTGGAGGACCTGACCTGTTCATTGGTAAAAAGCTTGAAGTACTAAGTTCCTGTTCTCCCAGGAAATGTGTCTTGGAAAGGCTAAGTGCCTTTCCAAGGTGAATGGTACTAGGTTTAGGGAAAGAGTTTATGGTTAAGCAACAACTCCTACCTTCTAAATAAAATGGAAGAAAGAAAAATTAGATTATAAATGAGAGGCTAACCATAACTTTATTGGCATTTCTGCTTTATTGGCATTTCAGACATTATATTTCCTCCTCGATATCCCTGTCCAAAATTAAAAACACTGAAACAGCCATGGGAACACTGTCCCTACCCGCCTCCCCATGTGGCAGGCTGTTGGCCCTTGGCTCCCCTTCATCAAAAGGTTTCCTTAAGAGCTTTCACTGTGGCCTCTGCATATTTCCTCATTCTCCTGTGCCACATGGGGAGCTACCTTTATTATAGTTCTCCAAATTTACCATGCCTTTTATACTGCCATGTATTCTATTACCTAAGTCTGAGATTCTCTCTGCCTTGGTCATTTGGCAAAACTCTACTCCTCTCTCTCTCTCTCTCTCTCTTTGGTGGCACTAGAACTCAGGGCTTTGCACTTGCAAAGCAGGTGCTCATAAAGTAGGCACTCTACCACTTGACCCACACCTCCAGTCCTTTTTGCTCTGGTTATTTTGGAGATAGGGTCTTAAGAACTATTTGCCTGGGCTGGCCTGGAATGACAGTCCTTCTAATCCCAGTCTCCTAAGTCGCTAGAATTACAGGTGTGAGCCATGGTGCCCAGCTCTAATCATCTCGATGGCTGGTTCAGTGTCAGCCCTCCCTATCGCCTCCTCTGGGCTCCTCCTGAATCACATACACTTGTTATTATACTTAGCATAAGGAATGAAAATTTTCTGCTTATACATCTTTCTCAGCTCCTGGAAGCCAAGACTAGTTCTTGTCTATCTGTGCACTCCCACCTCTCTCAACATAAAAGCTGGTATGTAGCCTTTGCTCAACAATTAATTTTTGAATTAAACTCATTTGTGGGCCTCACACTGCCCATGACTTGACTTGCCATGTAAGATAGGAAGCATAACAAAAGCACATGTTTTACAAATTAAAGAGAGGCACTACATTAGATAACCAACTAATCACCAACTAATAATCAGATGCAGCATACTATGGCATGGGATGTGGTAAGATAGCAAAGGGGCCTCTTCTGGACCTTCTCTGCTGAAACATATAGAATACATGCAGTGGGTCCTTGCAGTGGCATTGTCCTATCAGCACTAGCGACTTCAACACAGATTTTTTAATACAATGTTACAGAGGATACTCTATGAATCATTAAATGGAAAATTCTTTTTATTCTATCAACTTTCATATTCTAAGTTCCAGAATGAACAATCAAAAGGATGAAAAAAACAAGTATTCACTCTTGTTTGCTGTCTTTATTCAAGCTACCCTAATACCCACCTAAAAAAGGGCAACTTCTAGCTCCTCTTTCTATTCACGCCCTATCTGTCCCTCAGTGCCTGCTCAAGCTGGACGCCAATCTCTAATCTCTGAGCTGTCATGGCACCTAAGAGTTTGTACCACAGAGTTAATTACTGTAATTGTTATAATATCTGACATGGAGCACAAAGCCAGTATTAATAAAAGCTCATTGAGTGGTGTGCAGATAAAAAGTCTTATTACATGCCCCCGTTACTCAGCAGTTTTAGAAAAATTGTCAAGAGAGTATTTTTTCTTTACCACAACCCAAAGTTCTAAAAGGATAAATACTCCAGTAAGTTTAGAACACTCATGCCAATGACTTTTAAAAACCCACAACTGGAAACAGTAATTCTTCAATGTATTGCTAACCCCTGATACCTCCTTGCTCACGTGGGGTTTTAACATACCTCTTGGCCAGCCATAGTTTGGCTTTGGTACAAACAGTGATGTCAGTCAGCTCCTGTTGAAAGTCTGAATTCGTTCTGTGTTTGTAGTCTGTGAAGGCTTGTAACAAATGAAAAACCTAAACCCAAAAGAAAAAGTAACATCCTGTTGTGAAAGTGTATTTAAGTGCTCAGATTCTCTCTTTTAGTTTTCCTCAAAATATTTCAAAGAAAACAGACACCTGTACAATATGGCTCTGGTCTCTGCAGAAAAACATGTAGGTTCTGGAGGATATAACAGTGGTGAGAAACCTTTGGCTTCCGTCTATATCTGTGCTCTGGGTCCCTCCCATAATTCTCAAAATTGGAGACTACTCTGTAACCACTCATTTGCTACAAGAGCTTATTAGTTAGAAACAATCTATAAATTGATTTCAGCAAAGAAATGCAAACACCTTTATGTTAGCAGTCTCACATGAAAGTAAAAATGTGCCTTTTAAAGTCAAAGTCTTTGTATAGGGAAAAATAGTCTGAGAGTCTACAATGGATTGCACACCTGGATTCATCAGAACAGTGTTGGTTAAAGGTGCAGACACATCAATGCTTGCCTTTGCAAACAGTGGGTAGTGATGTTTGTAGCTTAGATTTTTCAGCAGACCTTCTGTTAGAGGTCAAGGGTGGAGGCAGCATTACGTACCACCAGCACTAAACAGACCACAGCAGATTCTGTTGTTTCTCTAGCACCTGTGTTTAGGATGGCCACTGTTTAGCAGGCCAAGTTTGAATGTGTGTGCTGGATCCACACTCAGCATTGACATGTGCAATCCCTCTGTGAGGAGAATGAAGGAGAATGAGGGACAAATGAGACCCTTTGACTGTAACTCATGCCAGGAAGAAAAACATGTCACAGGAATCCTAAAGTCTTGAAGGATTCTTCTCTCATCTAAATCAGGGAAAGATGTGGGTAGAGGAAGGAAAATACAGCTCATCATAAAAGAACTTTTAAGTCTATTTTAACAATATTTGCTTGCTTTCCCTACTATCACCTTCACTTGAGCTGCATGATTCTTTCCATGTAACCAGATTCAACCTTTTCTTTTTTTTTTTTTCCAGCCTTCTCTTCTCTTTCTCACCTGTCAACAAGGGACCGGGCTCACAGTAGTGAAATAACTGAGTTGCGTATAGAAGGGTGTAATTAGAAGAAGTAAGAGGCCAAGATAAAATAGATTCAGTCATCAGACCTTAAATAGGTAAGCCAGCAGGTTTTCCTGGGACAGAAATCTGTAATTACCACTCACAAATACATGCCAAACACCTTCTGTTTAAATCAAGATAAATTTCCATTACTTTGATATGTGTTTGTACTTCTTTTTTCTAAACAGAAATAACTGTACAGGAGAATGTGCACAGTCCTGATGTGGACACGGGAAAAGCTTCCTCTAAAAGAGAATTTGTTATTTCAGAAGCAACAGATCAAATGTTGCTCCTTCACCACACCCCTGCAGAGACCCAAACTGCCTGGCATGGAGTCTGCAGAACTGGGTCTGGCTGGGGCTTCTGTTCCTATGTGGTGACTACCAGAGGGAAAAATATCTCCCTCGGCTCAATTCCACTGTCCTGAAAGAGCTGGCAAAATCACTAGGCCTTGCTTTCTTTTCTCCACAGCTGCACAAAACTAACCACCAGGGCTTTCATGGTGTCACAGGATCATAATTAATCAGCAGACACCAGAAAAATACATGATTTTGTAATTTACTTGTAAAGAAAACTGTGAGATTTTCAAATGCTTCTTATTTCAATCACTTCAAAAATAACTCTTGATGGATGTTTAAACTTAGTCCTGTATTTGCTCACCTTGCTTGGCAAAAACAAGACTGTTTTTGAAACGCTTGGTAGCTCTGGTTTATGAAAATCAGCCTACAGGTCCATCAATTCTGTCACCTGGGGCACAAACCAGACAATTGTGATCCTGGTTATTCACCAGGAACGGAGAATGATCTGTTTACATGGGACAAATGGAGAGAGAGGTGCACTTAGAACAGCCTGATGGAAAAAAGCAAATTCAAGACACAGAACACTATAAATGAAGCACGGAGTCAGAGAATTAGAAGAAAAATGAAGCAGAGAAGGAAAGGGTGGAGAGAAGACAGAGGAAAGAGGGAGGAGAGTAAGTTTGTACACAAATTTATGAAATAGATTAGTTCTTTGAGATATTTTTCTGTAAGAAAATTAATGAAACTATTTGAATACACAACCACCCTCACATGACATTTAGAGTGTTGAAAAGAAAAAAAAGAGATAATCCTTTGGTGTGAGGTCCAGGCATAAGGCCAGGCCTCTGGATCTATGATCCACGCTTAGGGTCAGGTGCTCCAGGCAGCTCACGGGAAGGGTCATTAGTCTATTAGCTGTTAATGTTGGCAGAGGCAAGGTGACTCCTCTCCTTTCCCCCTGCCTAAAGTTCTGATCCAGAAGAACTTGTGGGCTAAGAACATGGTTGGACCCAGGTCTAATATAATTTGCAAACAGCCTGAACCAAGCACAGATAGTTCAAAGGCCCCAGACTCCAGGAGGAGGAGAATTAACTGAATACACATAGAACTCTGAGAAGTTTAGTGTCACTTTAGATATCTCAAATGTATAACAGTATTCAAACATTCAGTCAACAAATATTTATGAAGCAGCTATTATTACCAGGCACAGTCCTAGGGGCTGCTGCAAGGACCAAACAGTCCCTATTCTCCTGCAGCTTAAACAACAGTCCCAGAAAAGTGGAAAATCCACAGCTTCCTTGGCATTGTGGTACAGGATGGATCACCTGTACCACTGCATTGCCATAACTGACCTTGCTGTGCCTGACCTCACCCTCACAAGTCTGGAACACAGTAGGAACTCAACGAGCATTTATAAGGAACTGACACTGGTATTTGGTGTCTCTTCCTATATCAACTACTTCAGGACGCATTCCTGTGGGTTGAGTTCAGTTACCAATTTCTATGTTCACAGTGAAGAGACAGTGCTGAAAAACACTGTGCTCCTCACTCCAGCAGACTCCTAATCTGATGGGGGCGGCAGGCGGCAAGGCTAGATTAGTTGTGAGAATTCAGCCACATGGTAAAGTGTGAAAGGACACTGTCTTTAGAGCCAGACAGATATGAATGTAAACCAATGACTAGCTGTGGGCTTTGGCAATTTATTTAATCTCTGTTTCCCCACGGTAATGGAGCAAATAGTAGTCCCTGCTTATCTATGGGACATATGTTTCAAGACCCCCCAGTGGCTGCCTGAAATGGCACATAGTATCAAGCCTTATATATACTATGTTTTCCCTATGATAAAGTGTAAGTTATAAATTAGTCACAATAAGAGATATAACTAATAGTAGAATATAACATAATTATATACTGTAATAAAAGTTATTAAAAACCTAGGAATTATTTATTTCTGAAATTTTCCATTTAATAGTTTAAGACTGCAGTTGATTGTAGACAAATGAAATTGTGGAAATAGAAATCATGAATGGGGGTGCTACTGAATAATAATGTTTATCTTTTGTGATTGTAGAGAGATTTACAAGAATATATATGCCATTGTCACACTCTAGACCCCTGCTAAAAATGTAGGTTCTCTTCCGTGTTGCTATTCCCTTCCTTCCTAGCCCCATTCCAAAAATAAGCAGTCAGAGAAGGCTTTGCAGAAAGATTGATACTTACTTTTGGCCTTAAGAAGAATCTTGCCAGAATCAAGCAAAAGTAGAAAAGCAGGGGAAACTGAATTTAAAAAAGATCTTAAAGGGTATTAAAATATTGGTATTTGAACATTAGTATAAACTATGGGCTTTAGTTAATAATTATGGGTTAATATTGGTTCCTTACTATAACAAATGAACCACAGTGAAGATATTAATAGTAGAAGAAAAGTGTGCATATAGAGGAGGAATATAAGGGAACTCTCTGTACTACCAATTCAGTATTTCTATAAATCTAAAATTATTCTTAAAAATAGCCTGCTAGTTAAAAAATATAGGTACTACTCAGGGAACAGCAAAATCCCCTGACAAAAGCACAGCCAGAGTGAGCACAGGGTGATGGGGTTAGACTTAAAACGATCGTAAAGGCACACTGATGGAATGGGCCCTGTCCTGTGGTAGTAGAGACATCTTTAGAGAGAGAAATTCATGGATGGGAGCTGTCACTTGGAGAAAGAAGCCACAAGAGATGAGGTTGGAGGTGTAGGACCACAGGAGAAGTCTAGACATAAGGTAGAGAGTATTGAAATCAGAGCCTGTAGGTCAAGAGAGTCTACCCAGGCTTTACTTGGCCCATGCAGTACTTTTAAAACAACATTTATGAATTGTTTTAAAATTATCACCCTAAATCATCAACATTTCCAAATCCTTTTGAAAAGTCAGAAGATCCAGTCATATCTGGCCCTGAGATCAGAGGTGTACTCTCTGGTCCCCCACTGTTGCCTGGTACTTTGGTTGCAAAGATGGAGAATCAATGCCATTCATCACTGCTCATATGCTTTTTTCTTTTAACTTTTGGAAACCCAATAAGAAAATGAAATATTTACTAAGCCCAATCTCTATCAAAAGTTTGAATGCAAAGGATGGACAGAGAGGGTCATGAGTTTACACTCTTCGCCTCAGTTCACTTATCTTCCTGGCTAAGGCAGGACTCTGACTTTGTGACTCCTCCTACCCCACTCCATCTAAACACCATAGCAGTAGGATGAAGAGGAAAGGATACATTTAAGACACCTTGTGGAGCTGCAGACATAGGGCTTGGTAACTGCTGTAGACATGGAGTTGAGCATCAATAAAGAAATGCATAATTTGGGCCCCCGGTGAATGAGGGGCATCTTTCATGACCAAGATCATAAGAGAATCCCACAACAGCTCTGACAATGAGGGAGGGGGATTTAATGAATCTGGAGTTAAATGAAATGTGAGTTGGGAACATCTATGTGTTTACTTTAGTTGGATAATAATGGTGAAAAATAGGAATTCTTTTGAGATGAAAGAAAACTTTATTAATAATCACACAGGGACAGACAGAGGACAGATGGTTACCCCGAGCTATAGCAGGTTCCTTAGAGAAGGGTTAGAGGTAGTCTAAGGGCTTGGGGAGGGGGAAGA